TTACCAAAGCATCAAATTCTACTAACATAACCTTCCACCATTCTGGTACCTGCATAGCTTGAGAAGCACAAATGGGAATTATGTGATGAAGTAAAGGGTTTTGAATGGCCATATGGGCTTGTTTACGGGGTCAGAGGGTCATTGAGTGGGTACGTTTGGGTGGTGGGTTATTGAGTGGTGGAGGTGAGGTAGTGATATCAGGGTTGGTAGGTGGGTGAGGGACGAGGACAAGAGGATTTGGTTTAGGACGACGTTGGTAAGTAATAATTTGTGGTGGTGTGGGTCTAGGGGGTGTGGGGTGTGGGTCACTTGGGGGTGGAAATAGTGGGTGACGTATCGGGAGACTGTTGTTGAGCCGAGGTATGAGTAGGAGGAGACGCCCCCGTAGTCACAATACCTGAAATAGGAAGATAGGACATGGAAGGTTGAAGCCAGAGATCGACATCAGTAGTGATATTTGAGACTGGGTGGGTGGGTGTAGATAAGGGGAAGACTGACTCATCAAACACGACATGCCTGCTAACAAAGACACGGTTAGTGGTAAGATCAAGACAACAATAAGCACTTTGTTGGTCATAATCCCCGATAAAAACACACGGTTTAGAGCGTGGTTCTAACTTATGAGTGGCATAAGGACGTAACCAAGGGAAACACTGGCACCCAAAAAGTAGCAAGTTTATTGTAATGAGGAGGCTGTTGGAAGAGTTTTTCGTAGGGGGTGCAGAAGTAATGAGAGAGGGCAGGTTGTCTATTAATGAGATAAACTGCCGCAAGGAAAGCATAAGACCAATATTTAAGAGGCATGGATTCATGGTGAAGTAAGGTGATACCAGTTTCCACAATGTGACGATGCCGACGTTCAGCAAAACCATTGTGTTCTGGAGTGTGGGGAGGAGTGAGTAAGTGAGAGATGCCACATGTTCGTAGGAAGTTCCCTAAGGTAATGTATTCGCCTCCCCCATCGGAGTAGATTGTTTTAATTGTGCGTTTTCTACAATTTTTTTAAATTGTTGAAAAAGTGAAGTGACTTCACACTTATGAGTCACCATGTAAAACCAAATATATTTGGTATAACGATCGACAGATGTAACACGAGCAGGGCCCTAAACATCAGTACAAATTAAATCTAGCGATCCCGAACTCGCAAGAGATGATTTTGGAAATGGTAATTTATGGCTTTTATTACTAGCACACGAGACATATAAGGAAATATATGTTGCAACATTTGGAAAAGAAATACCTAAGGAAGAGAGATTTTTTTAGTGATAGGGAGGGCAGGATGTCCTAGACGACAATGCCACTTATTAAGGGAATATTTTTGTGTGACATGAACAGAGGGTGGTGGTGGAGAGGGCACATCGGAAAAGTTGTAGACGTCTCCTTCATTCATACCCCGTAACAAAACTGCTCCCGTTCGCCGGTCCTTAATAAGACAAAAACAAGAATGAAATTTAATTAGGACATCATTATCACGAGATAATTTGGCAACAAAAATTAGATTAGTATGAATAGAAGGGACAAAAAGGGTATTAGGTAAGGAGAGAGAGTGAAGGGTCGTATGCCAAACTTATGCTATCGCAAGACCTTTACCGTTACCAATAACGAGAGAGTCAGCGCCAGCATAACCGGATGTCAAGGTAAGATTGTCCAGGTTGTTGGTACGATGACATGATTGGTTGCTCCCGAATCAAGTAGCCAGCCATTGTGATTAGTGATAGTTGTATTGACTTGGGGAGGATAAGCCTGTTGTTCAAACTGATGCCAACAATTGAGAGCAGAATGATTTGGTTTGCCACAAATTTGACACATAAGATTTGCCCCGAAATTACCATTCCCAGGGGTGTTTCGGGCTGTCAGATTGTTGGTTGGACCCCTAAAATTATTCTGTCCACGTCGGTTGGAGTTATAAGAAACATGAGGTTGCTGGTTTTTGGGCTGACTCCCAATATTATTCCGGGCTGGGTAATTTTGGCGATTGGGCTGGGTGTGAATTTGAGCAGATGGTCCAGAGCGCAATATAGATGAAGTATGTGACGGGCCTGGTCCTCTGCGAGCAACAAGTGCGACCGACTCCCCAGCAAGTATTTGACGAGGTTGGTCTTCTGCGACTCTGGCAGTAGTATTAGCGGTGACCACAGTCACATAAGAGTCGAGAGCTTCCTTCTGTCGCAGAGTTGCTTCGAAACCAGTGAGCAGAGTATAGATGTTGCCGAAGCTGTTATTTCCACAGGTTCGAATAGAGTTTGTGAAGGAGTCAAACTCAGGTTGGAATCCCTCCATGGCTTGAATGACGAAGTCGTCATCATCAACAGGGCGGCCAACCTTAGCTAATTCGTCGGTGAGGGTACGAAGATGATGGAGATACTCGCCTACTGCCTTAGATCCCTGTCGAGTGTGGCGGAAGACATCCTTCATATTTCGGATTTGAGCTGCTGAACGGGTCCCGTAAAGTTGCTCAAGGGTTTTCCACACCGCAGCAGAGGTACGTGCGGATCCGACCAATGATTTTCACGCCGAGCTCAGGGAGGAGACAAGAGCATGTCGGAGGAGACGGTCTTGCCGATTCCACCGGAGACGACCTGCAACGTCACTAGTAGGTGGCGGAACAGCACCATCACTGATGTACTGGTCGAGATGAGAGCCAACCAAGAGGTCAAGCGCTTGGTCACGCCATATGAGGTAATTCGTCCCTTCAAGTTTTTCTGAGAAGTGGCTGAGGTTGAGAATGATTAAACCATCTGGAGTGAGGGGGTTGATGACTGTGGTAGAGGGAGTTGTAGAAGAAATGGCAGACTGCCCGTGTGGGGATTTCAGAGGTCCCCTTGTTGAGGGGGGTCGTCTGCCGCCATAGGAGAAGGGAGATGGCTGGTTAGAGCTCGTGAGGCTCTGATACCATAATAGACAAGAGAGAAACAAATATTTTGAATATATTTCAGTGTGTCAAAATGATTTACAATAGTTGCTATTTATACAAGTACTAATCACACCTATAAGGTAAGTAATAATACAATATTAAATGACAAAGATATGTAATGGTTAATCATAATATTTTGTTTTAAATCCAATTATTTCTTTCCTTCAATAATATAATTATGATTATGTATTAAAATTTATAATATCTGTAAATAACATCCCGTGCAACGCACGGGTACAAATACTATTTATTACCTAAAGTCCTGAACCATCCCGATGGTCATCGTCAAAAGTAGCCTGATCATTTAATATTAACATTTGTCACATGAGCAAACGACAAGAAATCATTCAAATATTCTAGGTGATAACCTCAAACTTCGTCATTCACGCTATCAAAAGTGAGTTTTGCTAGAGGTACCCCATTTGGTACCTCATCTGTACTTCCTTCCTATATTTGTGGTTCACGAAAGCCCAACACATTAAATGAATTGCTCCATTTTAATGAAGTGTTTTTGTGAACCACAAATATAGGGAGAGGTACAAAATAGGTGAAAATTATACCCTACGACCGGTGCACCATGAGGACGGTGTGCCCGGTCCCAAAATGACACAGTATAGAAGGTTCGAAGTACCAGAGAGCTAAATTAATCCTCACTGAATCGGGTGAAAGAGAGAAAGAAACACAGCTTGCTCAAGGGAGGATCGGAGTACCACCGTTTATTTGTCTTGAACTCTCCTGCGTAAGATTTTTGGTTCGTAGATGAAGGTGCCGCCTACTATCTAGTTGGTGCCTCCTCAGCTTTCACGATTGGGAAGAAAACAATGTTGCTGACAAAAGGCTTTGAGTTTGTTTTTACTCGATTGGGTTTGGAGACTCATCAAAACCAGAATCGATCAATGGAGAGCTGTTTTGTTGAAGATGACTATTATGAATTATTTTATATCTTCCTCAATTTACATGTTGGTACACTCAAGTTACATCAAGACTTGCCTAAAGTTACATATCCCAAGTTACATCTAATTTATTTTCAAGTTACATTTCAATTAAAGCAGTTTACAATTCAACGAGTTACATGTGAATGAGTGTAATTTACATTTTGATTAACTTGAAGTTACATGTGGAATCACACGAGTTACATTTCATATAGCCATGGGAGCACGGTGCTCACCATGCACCGGTTGCACCGTATACGGACTTCAAAATGGGGTAGCAATAACATTTGTGATCAAAAGTTAACTACTTTTAATGAAGTCTTAACGATAATCGAAACTTAAATTTATTCATATGGCACACTACTTATATTAATTTATTTAATATAAATTTATTAAATAAATTTATTTAAATTTAAATTTATTCACTTAGTTGAGTTTAAGTGACAAAAGTGAAATACAGAGTAGTGAAATGGTACATTCTACTTTCGATTTATGATACTTTAAGTCTACTTAAGCACATTTTATTACCATATTTTTCAGCTTATCTGCTTTATTAACCAACTTTTTCACTAAATATGTTTCGATTTCGCAAGATTTTTATGGTACAAAGCGACAATGGCACATAATTTAATTGTTAAAAAATTATTTCTATGAACATGTGATTCTTTTTCGATCCTCTTATGTAAGAATACTCAACAAAATGGTCAGGTCGAACGGAAACATCGTCACATTCTTTAATTTATTTGGCCCGGGCTTTGGGCTTCCAGGGACATATACCTATATATTATTTGGAGGAATGTATTCTCACAGCTGTCCATCTCATCAACTGCATGCCTTCCGCCGTGCTTCACCAAAAAACACCATAAAATTTTATGCGGTACTTTATCAAAATATAAAACTCCTTGTATCTTGGTATTGTGTATCAATAATTTCAATAATTTCAACAATTACGTTGGACCTTTGAGCTGAAGCACATTTTGATTTTGTAATTGCTTTCAAATATACAATTTGCAGGGTACCCAAGAAATTCATCTTGGAGGCAGGGTCGGTCCTGTCATTTTTTGGGCCTATGGGCGAGAAGCTAAGTTGGGCCTAAATTTATAAGACAAACATAGATTATAATAAAACTACCGAATAATTGAATAAAGGTAAAAAATAAAGACGAAATTCACTTTATTAATATTTAAATAACATGTTTGATGAAATGTAACAAGTATCACATAAAAAGAAAAATATTACTTAAAAACGTTTCTCGCTGAACACTGTGAAGCAAAATCATCAATAATTGCTTCATAATCAACCTTTTCCAAGATCTCATGCTCAATGCTTAAAATTGCTAGTCCATTCAGCCTTTCTTGAGACATAGTCGATCGCAAATAATTCTTCAGAATCTTCAACTTTGAAAAACTTCTCTCCGCTGTGGCAACGGTCACAGGTATTGTCAACAGTATTCTGTAAGCAATTGTTGTATTCGGATAACAACACAAGTTCTTCACAAAATCAAGAATTTTTATGGTTGTGTCCCAATCATCCGATAAAATATTTTGCAACATTTTCAATTCTTGAAATAAATCATCCATATCAATGTCTTCCTTTTCACCATCTTGTAGAGCTTCTGCAAGTATCTTACAACAATCTCTCAACTTATCAGAATCCAATGATTTCAAGTTCCGTGAATTGAACAAGAACCCAAAAATACCTTGAAAAACCTTCATCTGATCAAATCTACTTTGCAAAGAAGCCAAACAAGCATCCATTACAACATTAAAATAAAAACACTTAAAAGCATCTTGAGGCGACTTATCTTCATCATCTTCTTTATCTTCATCAAAGTGCTTTTTCCTTCAGATCGATCGCCTTTCAGGAAAACAAGGTTCAAGCCCCAATTCTAGAGCAATACCTTTTGCTCTACTCATTGCATCTTCAAACCCCTCATTTCGATACTTGTTTAAATAAATAATCAAAGCATTCATATTTACTATACAAGCATCCATGCACATATCTTCACTTTGTAATAATTTACTGACTTTATTAATGTGATGCAAAACATCATACCATATTACTATGCCCAATAAGAATTCAAACTTTTCTACTTGTTTCAGCGCACTTTTAACGTCATTTTTAGACAAATAATCAGTGCAATCTTTTCCCAGTTCAATCAAAGCTTCTCGTATTTGCAAAGTTTGGGTTACAATTGCTTTAACACTTTCCACATGACATTCCCAACGTGTGGTGGACAATGACTTCAAAGTTAAGCCCTGTAAATGCTCTTTCAAAATTGCCCATCTTTTTGTTGAACCAGAAAATAATGTATACAATTTCTGAACACATCCAAAAAAAGTAACCGCCCTTGAACAAGATTTAACCATATCAGAAATTGTTAAATTTAGACTGTGACAAGCACATGGAATGTAAAAAGCTCTCCGGTTCATATCAAGTAGCCTTCTTTGAACACCTTGATGCTTACCTTTCATGTTAGACCCATTGTCATAACCATATCCTCTAACATCATCAATATCTAGCTCAGATGAAATCAACACACGCTATAATTCCCCAAAAAGCCCCAATCGAGTTGTATCTAGTACTTCTAGAAATTCCAAAAAATATTCAACAACTTATGCTTTGCCTGATGACATATTCACACATCGTAAAAAAACAATAAAAGAATTCAAAATTGCACGATAGGGTCCATAGCCAATAGCGCACATATAACAATTTAACAAGACAATAAAAATGCATCATATAACAAAAACATTTTCTTATATACAAATTGCAATTGCAAGGATAAATCATAAATCATTAATCAAAAGAAATTCTAATAGATTGAGATTAATTTACTGACCACTGATGACTGGTAGATTGTTTGAAACCTTGAAAGTTGAAAGAAGTGTTCTACACTTGTAATCGTCGGCCGACCTTTGGGCTCCTCGCCTCCTCCGCTTCTAGATTGATTGGCAGACTTCGTAATCTGTTATCACTTAGGCAACCTTGATAACAAATTAACAATTTAACATTTGAACCTTCGTTACTTGATTTCAAAATTGAAAACAAACAAAATCAATAAACAATGAAATAGACATACGAACTTGGGATTTGGGAATTGCACGGCCAAGTGGAGAATTTGCCTTGGGGAGTTAGGGTCGATGGAGGTTATACGAACTTAGGATTTGGGAATTGCACAACAAGTGGGTTATTGGGATTTGGGAGGTTAGTACTTCGGTAATATGTAATAGGCACTTAGGTAGTTTAGGGATTTGGGTTATTACGCCCCTATTGCCCCCCCCCAGGACCGGCCCTGCTTGGAGGTTCAAAATATTTTTCGGTGGGCAAAAAATCACTTTGAGGCGGCGAAAATTATTTTTCATATATATATATATACACCAAAAAAGATGAGTGTGACAGAGATGCGTATGTTGCGTTGGATGTGTGGACATACCAGAAAAGACCGCCTGAGGAATGAGGTAATCAGATAAAAGGTGGGAGTAGCACCTATAGAAGATAAGATGCAGGAGTCTCGTTTGCGGTGGTTTGGGCATGTGCATAGAAGACCGAGTGATGCACATGTTAGACGACTTGAGGGGTGGGGAGAAGAGTCAGAGAAGAGAGGGAGGGGAAGACCCAAACAGACTTGGATTAGAGTAATCAGAACTGATATGCGTCTTCTTGGGTTGGATGAGAGTATGGCTTTGGAGAGAGCAAAATGGAGGACACACATCCATGATGTCTTGTCTACCTTTCCTCTCTTGTTTCTTTTATCGTTTATCTTCCTCATCTTTTTATATTCTTATATTATTTTTATCTTCTAGCTTTTTTATGTTCTTTTATTTATTTTTCTTTTATCTTGGTTATATTCTTGTGTTATTGTTATCTTATACTTCATATTTATGTATCTTTATTTTATTCATTTTATCTTACTTTTTTTTCCTTTTCTTGTCTGCCTTCTCTTTTTGGCATCGATATCATAGATCGATTCATGTTAGCCGACTCCAAATTCTTTTGGGATTAAGGTTTGGATGTTGTTGTATATATACACCAAAAAAATTGTTGGGGAGGCGATAGCTCCCTAGGTCTCTACTACGATCCGCCCCCGACAAGTTGTGATCAAATTATTCACAATTCACTTACCACATTTGTTCTAAATGGAAATTTGTATAACTCAAAATAAAATAAGACCAAGGCCGAATTCGGGAATCCCAATTCAAGGGCATTGCTTTTTTTCGTGACCTTTGCCATCATTGATGATAAGCAGGGCCGGTCCGGAGAAAACGCAGGCCCTGTGCAACAATAAAATTTGGACCTTTTTTCAAGTTTAAACGCAAGCAAATTGTCTTACAATACAAGTTACTAATAAACGTAATAATTAAAATGAAAAAAGTAATTAATAACTTACAGTTTATTTAAAAAGAGACATTCTTCGAGCATATTTAGATGCGAAGTCATCTACCAAACTTGCAATGTCAATCTCTTCGAGTGTTTCAGACTCTATGGATATCAACGCCAATCCATTGAGTCTCTCTTATCAAGAGCTCCTTTTTGAGATTGGGTTAACTCCTCAAGTCTTATTTTCCTTTGACGCTTTTCATGACCGGATTGGTATTTATATGGAAACATAATTTTTACAAATTATTGAAATTCTCCTATAATCCTGTACATGTTTATAAATTTTAAATTAATATTAAGTTTAAAATTAGGGTGAAAGCATGATTTACTTTAAATGCAAAAAATCAACAAATAACAACAACACAACAATTCAACAAACATTAAATCTGAAAATAAACAAATTACAAGATTTCAACAAACAATTCATCAATTCAAATATTCAATAAATTGAACGTTCACAAGAATTAGCAAATTAGCAACTAAATGAATAAAAGAATTAGCAAATTAGTAACTGACCGGAAGGACGACGTCTGAGGGAGGCCGGAGGGCGGCGGAGGCGTGTCGGAATGCGCGCAGGCTCGTCGGAGACTCGGAGTCGTCGGTTGAAGTCGAGTCGTGGTCCTCGACTCCTCGTGGAGACTGGAGAGCAGCCGACTGCCGAGTGGTGTCCCTTTGCCGGTGTGGACGGCGGTCTGGCGAAGTGGGCCGAGTGGCGCGGCGCCGTGGCGGACCGGCGGTGTCCCTCGACTCCCTTTGGCCTTTGTCGTGAAGACGCGAAGACAGGACGCGAAGGCCGAAGAGTCGGAAGTCGGAAGAGAGCAGGGGAAGACGGGATTTGACGATTTTGAGGCTGGGGAATTGGTTTGGGCTAAAAACAAAAGTTTTGGGCTGGGGTAATACTATTTTTTTTTGGGCCCTCCAAAATATCGGGCCCTGTGCGATTGGGATGGGCAGACAGGCCCAGGGCCGGCCCCGATGATAAGTGATCTTGTAAGGTCCGGTCCGATTATAGTTTTATTTTATGAGCTCACAAGGTATGTCACATCTAGCGCGCTATTGTAAAAAAACTAAAATTAGTTGGACACACAGTAATTATGTGAAGTTATCAATAAAAATCATGGAGTAATTCTCAATTTAGAGTCCGTTTAGTAACAATAAAAATATAGCAAGTAACAATAAAACCATGGAGTAAAAACATAGTAAATACGCTAAATTTGTTGAAATTGATGAAAAAATAAACTATACTACTAAAAAGCATGGGGTATTTAATTAGTGAAACATAGCAAAGTTATATAAAAACAATTAAAATGACTATCTACTGTCATTTCTATCAATTCAGTCATAAAAATAAATTTGACCTTATATTTTTATTATTACACAATGATGGATAGTCTACCCGGGGGTATATATCCGAAGGGTTATTACGGGGAGTAATTTAGAGAGAAGTCAGAGCAAGTAAGTAAAAGTAGAGAGAGAATGTATTCAGTATGAATGCCGTTTTCAGCGTGGTTACAAATGAGGAAACGGGGTGCTATTTATAGTAGCAATAAATGCCGGGCAGGGACACGTGTCAAGCGCTCATTGGCCGAGGGGTCACCTCAACTGGTTGGCGCTGGCAGCCGCATGTGGCCGCATTTAATGCGGCTGTTGGATGGGACGTCTATGCGGGGTATGGTGATCTGTGCGCATGTGAGGCGGATATCTTGTCGAGTGAGATGCCTTCGGCTATAGAGCAGTAGCCGAGGGCTCTTCCACCCGATGGCACCCTGGTGCCGAGGGCTCACAATGCCGAGGGCTACTGTTTTCGCCGTTTTCTCCCAGTTTCTTAATTTGCCTGAGAAACCCGTTCTGTGAGAATTTAGAGCCTTCGGCCAGGGGGCCGAAGGCACCCCTGGCGCGTAGTGCGGGCTGCTTGGTACTCTGGGCGCTGTGATTTGGGCCTGTTGGGCCTTTTGGGTCTTTTGGGCCTTCGCTGGAGTAGTAGGAGTCTGTGGGCCGGGGGTTCCCGGGCCATATACTCCATCAGGAGTCCCTCACTCCATTTGCTGAAAGGTACTTGAGGGAAAAGGAGTAATTTGTGCTTGCGCTTTGATGTTGTCCCGTCGTGATCTCTGAAGTTGGTGAGGAGTCGTTGTTTTTATGTCCCTGCCGAAGGCAGTCCCTCAGTTACCCACATGTCGGGACTTGAGGGCTTTCTTTGTTGTTTGTTGGGCCGAAGGCTGACGCTTTTCGTTTCATTTTGGGGGGATGCCTCGTTAAAAACCTCATTAGGAAAAATCCTTTGGGAAAAAATCCTAATGAGGGAAAAAGAGTGCACCGAATTCCCCCAATGATGAATCGAAAATGTCAAACCTTGGTATAAAGTGGGGAATGACGGGAATGCCGAAGGCTCTCTCTTCTGAGGGCTCCTGTGTTGATTAGCCGAAGGCTTGCTATTGATGTCCTGGTGGCGCCGAAGGGGAGCCCCTCAATTCGGGGATCGAGGGCCTGCTGGATGAGGGCGACAATGGAGTTGTTACCGGGGGGTCCACTGTTTGTTGATTAGTTGGTGATGAAGATACCCGAGGGCTCCCATTACCTGTGTGCGACGGGTTATCCGTCAGTGAAAGCAACTCCCCGGGGGCTACCCGGTTTTGCAGTGCTGAGGGGGAATTCCCGAGGGGTGCCCTGATATGAAGCCTTGGGTTTCTGAAGGAGTGATCCCAAAGGCGACTGTTATATGCTGTGCGAGGCATAACCCGGGGGCACTTCTGAGTGAGTGTACCCGGAGGCTATCCTTGATGAAGTG